ATAAAAAGGTAAAAATAACCAACAACAATAGAATAGTAGTGGTTACTAATAAAAAAAGGTAAAAATAACCAACAACAATAGAATAGTAGTGGTTACGTAATAAAAAAGAATAAAAATACCAACAACAATGAATAGTGTGGTTCATAAAAAAGGTAAAAATACCAACAACAATGAATAGTGTGGTTCATTAAAAAGGTAAAAACCAAATAAACTGCGATTACTCCACGTGTATTTTACATAGAAAATAAGTGATTTCCTCACCTTTTTCTGTTTTTTATACGCAGTATTATTGTGGACAAATACAAAATTACTCAACATGATGGAATATATGAATTGCATCGGTAGTAAACGTTAAAAGAACAAGGTGGTAATGCAAGGGTTAAAATAATAATTTTCAGAGCATTTTTTAGATATACACGACTGTTTAAGTTTAATGTGAGTATTAAATTTAGTTACTTTTACAAGCAATAATTTATTTCAGGTTTGTTTGCGTAACTGTGTACAAATCATACATTGTATAGTTCAATTGCTGTGAATTGGCGCTTGTTGTATTATTGCGTCATGTTACTAGAACCTTCTAAGTTCTTCTCGCTGTTTTAATTGAGTATTATTGTATCATAATATATCGTAGTGTGTGGAACGTCCAAAATGTAGTTCATATTAGATAGATTTAGACTGCGTGATTTTGCGTTTAGCCATAAAGAGCGTATAGTGGCGATTTTCAACGTGAAATTATCACACAATGTATTGTACTAACAGAGTAGAGAAGAATAATTCGTCTTCTCAAATTTTGTTCTAAAGTGATTGAACCAGCCTGTTTGACGAAAAAGAGATAATTATTTAAAGCTCTGGCTACAACTATGATAACCAACAGGGTAACGAACATTTGTATACACGTTCGGCTTGTTTTAATATATTATTTTACAATAAGTGGATTGTGTGCTGTTTGTTTATTGTCGAAATTTATCGCCAACAACTCACAGACACCTACTGTAAAGAATCCAGCCCATAATATAATCTGATAGTATGACTACTAATTTTGTCTTTGGTGATAAACGTTTATGTTTTTCACTGTTGTTGTATTTTTCCCAATGTCTATTGCACAGTTAGTTGTGTTCCTTATCCCATATAATTTTACACATTTTTTCACCTAACCAGTCATTTCAGTGTGGCACTTAGAATAACTGGGATAAAATAACAATAATTAAGTCAATTTATAGAAACACTTATTACCTGTTAGTCACAGCATATTTCGATATCTCAACAAATTATTTGTTGATTTGTAGTTTATAAATGTGACGTAATAATAATGATAAACACATAATCTCAGCAACAAACTCATTTAATCACTCAACGACATTAAACGAATGTGATGGAGGCGTGAAGCACGACAAGAAATAGTAAATAAGTACATGATGTATGACACCACGAAACATGTTTATTATTTTCATGTTTCATAACAGCAAAATGTTAATATTGTTACTTGTGTGTGTTCTATTATATATATATATATATATATATATAATATACAGATGGGCGTAGTTTCTGAAATCAAAAATAGATATAGGCCTAATTAAACCGTCAGTCAGTGTCGTCCAGTAAGTGGTCCTCAAGAAGGTTCATATCACAACAAAACACACCAACAAACTAAAGAGTATATGAATAGAAAATTATAACGTCACATTCAGCAGTTTTGGGCAATAGATTTTCCGTGGCTTGTTGGTTCCCATGATTATATAACTTGTGAGTTTAAGAAGTGATGGACTTATACTTCAACCTAACTTACAGCATGAAGAAAAGATCATTTTGATTAATCTAAGAACTAGAACAAAAATTGGAGAAAATACATTTTTATTATCTTAATTTAATATTTCTGACAAAAGATGGCGGTAGTTTGGCTGTTACTTTCCATTGGCGAATTGCTTGGTCTGTTACCCACTGAGCATAATTGTTGTTTTACAATACACAGCACCTTAGAATTTCTTTACTGTGCTTCTGTGATCGATATATACATTACGTACAATATCTCAGTAATTCATTAATGCCGCAGTGTATGACTAAACAAACAGTATTTGAACTGTGGTGTTTTACACTAATAACCCTTGTTATAACCTTTCTAATGCCTTCAATTTTTAGTACTTTATTTCTGATTAGGTTTGACCTCATCTGTTGAGCACCTGGTAACACAAGAATACAATTCAAAGGGAGTTTTATATACGTTCTATACGTTGGGGGAGGCAGAGGGGAACCTGCCCCCACTTTTTTTGCAAAATAGTAAAGTGCCCCTCTTCAACAAATAAAAACTATAACGTCAAAAATATAACAAAATCTCTAAATCACAATATAGAGACTAAAAATGTAAGGCAGGTTGAAGTTGTAAGCATTCTTAATGGCTCGTTTGTTTGTTTGTTTGTTTTGAATTTCGCGCAAAGCTACACGAGGGCTATCTGCACTAGCCGTCCCTAATTTAGCAGTGTAATACTAGAGGGAAGGCAGCTAGTCATCACCACCCACCGCCAACTCTTGGACTACTCTTTTACCAACGAATAGTGGGATTGACCGTCACATTATAGCGCCCCCACGGCTGAAAGGGCGAGGATGTTTGGTGGGACGGGGATTCGAACCCGCGACCCGCAGATTGCCTTAATGGCTCGATTTAAATTAACTTTTTTTTTGCCAAATGAGTAAAATTGTGAAAGATGGCCCTCGAGTGTTGTGCTCCTCGAGTGTTGTGCCCCTCGAGTGTTGTGCTCCTCCAGTTTCCAAATGCTTCCTCCGCCGCCTATGATCCAATATTGTGTAAATATTATTTAGCAGCAGATTACAACTACTAGAGTAATAGAGGCATATAAATATTCAACATTCTCATAAAATACGAGTGAAAAAATTGTCTATTCATATATCTTATCACGTAAGGCATCAAAAAATGATTATGATAACATATAACCCGCGTAGCCATTAATATAAGAATAATTAAGCGTAATAAACCTATTAGAGAGAGAAAAGAAAAAAAGTAAATAGCAAAAAGTAAAAACTGCTTAGTTTAAAATATGTTCGCCAGATGACGCCACTGTTCAAGCACTGAGTTAATAGATCGAGACGTAAAATATGACATATTCTAGTCATTACAAAGTGACATCTGAAGAAATAATAATGATATAAAAAATCATTCTTTTTGCTCATTAAAGCTTTTTCCCTTCTTTCTGATATTTGCAAATAGAGGTTCGTATTTTTTACTCCTCCCTATTTAGGAGTATATCATTATAATAATCTAAAATTATTATCCTTTTCCTGTAATTTTTCGAGAGAGAAAAAAAGATGACTAGCACAATAGCCTTAACCGTTAATATAACATACGTTCCTACAAATGCTTGAGCGTCAGAAAACTTAACATGCTTGTAAAGTATTTTTAATTCTTTCCAGAATGACCAATTCATCATTTCTCTCTCTCTGTTTTACGTGTCTGTGGATCACTAGTTGAAGAAAACAAATTATCCGCCAGGATTTTAGCTTGTAGAGATTTGTTTGTGATAAAAGCACAGATAGGGAAAATGATTCGAATATTAATCCTCATACATAATGTAGCAGTATATCTATAGTTATATAGTTTCAAACTGGATTCTGGTCGATATGACTATGAACCGATGAAGGGGCCTTTTCCATGATGTAAGCGTTTTTTAAGTCGCCATCTTTTACGCTCGGTTCTTCGTGACACCTTTGAAATGGCCGCTAGCCGCATGGCGTTTGAAGTAATGAAGCAATACATAAAATATTAGACG